CATAACCATTTGCACCATGACTTCTGATGGAAATTATATTATTTTTATGTTTTACACCATAAATAAGACTATATATAAAACCAATGGTGTTGTTGTTGTAGTTAGGTGCCATTGAGTCAGCACCTACTCACCTACTCATAGCGATCCTATGCACAGCAGACCAAAACACTGCCTGATCCTGGGCCAACCTCACTACTGTTGCCACACTTGAGTCCACTGATGCTGCCACTTGGCCAATCCATCTCGCTGAGGGTCTTCCTCTTTTTCTCTGACCCTCCACCTTACCAAACATGATATCCTTCTCCAGCGACTGCTCCCTCCTGACAATATGTCCGAAGTTGAGAGACAAAGTTTGGCCATCTTGGCCTTCAAGGAGCACTCTGGCTGCACTTGTTCCAAAATGGATCTTTTGGCAGGCCATGGCACTTTCAATATTCTCTGTATTGTAGGTGTCCAATATGTCCAGATAGAATTAGAAGCATCAGCTATTCATACACAGTTTTAAGACTGGATAGGAATTGAACCTTTTTTTTAAGCCCATTGTTGTTAAGTGCAGCTGAGTCAGTTCTGACTTATAGCAACCCTGTATAGGGTTTCCGAGGAGCGGCTGGTAGGTTTGAACCACTAACCTAATAAGGCTAAATGACTTGACTCAGTTTTTAGGAGACAGATGCATTATAATCAGGTCCTTTGACTCCTACCTCACATTTTTTCATATAAAATACACATCCATGACCTTCTATGGACTTAATAGAGAATAGAGAAACCAAATCAGCAATTTACCATTTAGCCATAGATAACAGTAAATACAATCTTTAGGCATTAAAAAGTTTAATGTTTAGGCCAAAGATACTAAGAAAATGTATTCACTCTATATTTTTCATTTAAGTTTCAAAAATGCTTTGTCAATTGTTGTTTAAATAATGACATGGTAAATAGCCACATTAAATATTTATGGGAAAGAACTTCCCATTTCCTGATATTGTTAGTTACTTTCTTTCCTGCAACTTGTTTATATGATTTACATCATCTGGGGTTGTCCTTGTTATTTTCACGTTAATGGGAAGCATACTCAGATTTTCAAGCTAGTTTGCTTTAATCATGACAAAGAAGGAAGACAGATTTTAGGAGAAACCCATAATAAAGGCTCCTGGTCAGCTATGTGGCCAATCACTTGAATTCTGGCTACAATATGGGAAACAACACTTGAAAGGAGACATTAGGCATGCCAAAGAAAACCCAGAACTATATGACCTGCTGTGGGTTAAAGCGCCAGACTGCAAAGCCATTTGAACTGCAAGGTCTGTGGTTCAAGCTCACCAGCTGCTCCTTGGAAACCCTATACAGGGTCGCTATGAGTCAGAATCAACTCGACAGCACTTAACAGCAACAAAATATGACCTGCAGTAAATTATGTACATCATATATATGGTGTTGGTGGTGATTATATGCTATGAAGTTGATTCCGACTCATAGCGACCCTGTATAGGGTTTCAGAGGCTATAAATCTTTATGGAAACAGAAAGCCTCATCTTTCTCCTGCAGAGCCACTGGTAGTCTTGAACTTCTGACCTTAAGATTAGCAGCCCAACTTGTAACCATTACACTACCAGAGCTCCCCAACAAAAGTATATAAGTTTATGCATATATATAATTCATATATATACACACACACACTATATGTTGGTGGTTCATACTCCTTGGAAGCCTATACAGGGTTGCTACAAGTCAGAATCGACTCAACAGCACTTGAAAATATCTAAGTTTTTAAGTGGTATGGCACTGTAGGTTAATGTGCTGGACAGCAAAGTCAGTTTGAACCGCAAGATTGGTAGTTCAAGCTCACCAGCCGCTCCTTGGAAATCCTGTATTGTTGTTCTTAAGTGTCGTCAAGTCACTTCCAACTCATAGCGACCCAGTATAGGGTTTCCGAGGAGCAGCTGGTGAGCTTGAACCAATGACCTTGTGGTTCAAACTGGCTCTGTAGTCCAGAGCAACAACCCACAGCACCACACCAGGACTCCTATATACAGGGTTTAAATGTGCATCTTCATGAGTGATGGAAAAAAATCCATGTTTCTGTGTTACTTTTTGATTGATTTTGTGTTACATTTTGATTGGTGAAGCAGCATATCCTTCACTCAAACTGTGGTGTTGTGTCTGAAATGGTATGATTTAATATTGTCATTGACAAAGTGTAACTAAAGGAATGCTTAAATATTTAATTAATGTTCAAAATGCCCAGTCCATTTTACGTGGCATCCCCCATTTTATATAAGCTAGTCCCCCAAATTATTTCATGATGTCTAAGTAAAACAAACGTATGTATATTTGTTTCCTCTAAAATACCATACATTACTTTTCATATGAGTGGACATGATGAAACAAATATTAAACATATTTTAAACAATTAAAGACTTTCTCAGGAAATAAAAAACAATGATGATGTGGAGGCAAGAGAGTAAAGTGGGAACAAAGAGCAAATAACAGCTTCCTCACTTAACAGTTTATAAATTGTTTCAAGAGACAAACAAAATTCTCTCTACGCCCAAATTATGTAATTTATCCGGATTGTACAAGCTCCTCTGTTCAGCAATGCTGATAATGACACTAATGGTTTAATTACAACTTGCTGCTCAAGGAGATAAACAAGGCTGTTTGCTTTTTAAACTAGGGGTTACAATTACTTTTAAACGCGGGGCGGGGGGGAAGCACATCTGCAAATAGATCTTACTTTGTCAGGAAAGCAACCAGAAACCAGCTGGAAAATAAACAAAGCCCCAGGAGTAAGCAGCCGGCACAAAATTAGAGCAGGAACACCCAATTTGAGCAGTGGAGCAGTAGGCGTGAGACGTAGTAAACAGGCGGCAACTGTAGGTGGGCAGGGACAGAAAAGTTTTCTGTGGCCAGATCGTCTGCATTTTCCCTGGGATTCCATCACGGTAAAGCAGTGGCGCGCCTCCTCCCTCCTCTGCTGTCCAGTTTATAATCAAGTCGCTGTCAGATGGTCCTTGGCTTCAGCACCACAGAGGGAGGACAGCTCCTCTACTGCAGTGCAAAGCTTGCTGAAACTGCCTCTCCTTTCCCAACACGCTTTGCACAACATTTCTTTCTCATTGGATGTGTTTCTTGCCACTTTGCATTTAGGGACCATATATAGAGTAGGGGCTAAAGAAAGTCCTGCTTATTTATTTTCAGATGAGACAAGTCCTGCTTCGGAGCAATTTAAAGGATTGCAAGTCACTGGATTTAATTTAATCTCGTGGTAGAATGGCTCAACTTTTACTCAGTAGTTGCTGAACCTTGGACCACCTCTTTTTAAGTGATTTTTGTTCTACTCTTCCTTTGTAAAAGTACTAACAAAAGGTAAACAACGTTTTTACTCTTTTTGTGGTTTTTGCTGTTTCAGACATTTTGTGGTAATACATACTAAAGGAACATAATTGAGTTCAGTAGCAAAACTGTCAGTGGAATAATATCATTAGGTTGGGAAACATTTTTGATCCAAAAATAAACTCTTCTCAATCCTTTATAAGATCCCTCATGACTATATGCTGAACCTGGAGCATACCAATAGAGACTTAACAGTTCTAAAGTAAGCACCATGAAACACTACAGAATAGCACAAAATGCCAAAGCTTTCCCAGTGAAGTCCCCTTTAACATGGTGCTAAAGCCAGAGGTAAACATTCAGGGAGAGGAAAGGTATATATGACTAAAAAACCCAAATCATTAAGACAGAAAAACTATATTCCAAGATACTTGGCTATTCCAAGATCCTAGATACAGCACTGCTTTGTATTCCTCCAGTTATCAAGATACTGGTTGGTTAGCCAATGCATCTTGTTCCTCTATGCATAGTTTTCTCTTTTGTCCAAACTTCTCTATAGGGCATAACACACACACCATATGAAGATTCATACACACATACACACTCCTTTTGATTCAGTCCCCTTTTAAAGGGATTGTTGCTTTTTAAACTTATTTTTAAAGAGGGTCTTCAAGGACACGCTCTGTTTTGGCACTGGAGTTCCCAGAATATGATAGAACTCTAAAAACGATTGAGTACAAGCCAGGGGTGCAGCTTATTAGCAGTCATTCAGGAAAATCAGCACCGTGAAGTAACTAACTCTGGATGGCAGTGCCAACTTACTGGTAACAGGGGGGTGAAGGTTGCCTGTGAGTCAGGAATAGTAACAGCAGTGAGACTCTAGGCGTTTACATCAGGGAACCCTGAATGAGCTAAGTGGAAGTAATTTTGACTCGGAATCTCTTTCTTTCTTATTGCCCTTGTACTTCTTTCATCCCTCTTTCTTTCCTTCCTCCCTCCTTTCCTTTTCCACTCCAGCTGTCATTTTCTCCTAATCCATGAGTCTCTTTAAGCACTAATTCCAGTGACAGCGTCCCCTCACATCACATGTGTCCTGTACACCATGCTATTCTTACTATCACTATGGTTGCTGCTCAGTGGCCTCGTGTGACATAAAGGTTCTGCTCCCAATAGCTCACCCCATCCCCTCTCTTTACTCCAGGAACACTACAACACTACCTGTCACCAGGGTCTGCATGTCACCAACAAGTTCCACCCTGTAGTAGCCCAGCCAGCAAACCACCAAAGGAGCTTGGTCAGCCCCGTCCATCCCCAGCCGGCGCACCCTCATCCTGACCCTCCCTTGGCTCTTCCATAGGATCATTGTTACCATTGACAACACTTTCTTCTCTCCAGGAAGGGGAAAGCCCGCGTGTGACTACTGGGCGGATACAGGGCTCCACGCACAACCCTCCCCCACCTCCGCATCTCCCTCTTACACACATGCACTCACACACACCCTCCTGACTCCGGTCACACAAAGAGAGCGCCCGGCGCCCGCCTGGGTAGGAAGGGGGGCGGGAGAGGGGATCTGAGGAGGGTCGGGGTGCTGAGCCGGCCGGGAGGAGGGAAGGAAGGGAAGTAAGCGGGGTGGTGACCTAGGGGAAGGCGAGCAGAACAGGCGTCCTTACCTGCTCCCAGGTTAAAGGAGATCCTGGCCTCAGCCAGGTACGGCGTGTCGCTCTTGGAGCGGACTCTTCTGATGGGCCGCCGGTCTATATCATCCTCCGAAGATGCCGCCATTAATGTGGGAGGCAGGAGCAGGGTCGCCCGGCGAGCTGACAGGGAGAAGGAGATGGAGAGAGAGGGAGAGAGACGGAAAGGGGAGGAGGGGAAAGGAAGAGGCTCACACGCGGAAAGGGGGAGGGGAGAGGGGGGATGGGAGAGGAAGGGAAAAGGGATGGGGAGGAAGGGAAAAGTGAGGGAAAAAGGGAAAAAAAGAGGGAGAGAAAAAGAAAGAGCAAAGGAGAGAAAAGGGAGTAGGGAGAGAAAGAAAATCCGTTAAGGATTTGTGGACTGGAGCAGAGATCAGGTTATCCCTGGCTTGCGCCTGGGCCTCCCCCTAACTCCTCTCCCAGTCTCGGGGCCCAGAGGTCAGGGCTGCTGACTGACTCCCCGCTGCCCACTAGAAAACCCAGTTGTCAGCTATGAGCACAGATAGGCTAATGAGAAAGGAGAGACTCCAAAGCAAAGGTGCCCAGTCAGCACTGTGCCTCTCCCGCCAAATGCACTTATTCTGCCTTTCAACTGCACACTATGGTTTCTTTAACCCATAAGATTGTCTAGATTGGGGAAGCCAGGCCAGATACCCCAAATTGGACTTTCCCTGAGAGTTAATTTTCCAAAGATGAAATCCCAGGCCCAGCTGGTCATGGTAATGGTAATTGCAGGGGTACTCTTCTGTCCGGTGCCCTTTTCAACCAAGAGACCCAAAATATCAGATCTGAAATTCTAGGAAGACTTTTAAATACCCCTTTCACCCTAAGGTGGAGAGCAGAGGAAAAGGTTATATGGATTTGGGAAGAATTTGTCAGTAAATTTTCTAGAGTTGCTATTTTGAATGTAAACTAGGTATATTCAGACAGAATTAAGCCACCCTCTTTTACAACCATTAACTTCTACTGTTGTTGTTAAGTCCATTCCAGTTGGTCCCAACTCATAGCGACCCTATATAGGGGTTTCAAGGAGCAGCTTCTGGGTTTGAACTACTGACCTTGCAAAAAGCGGTCCAGTGCTTATCTTATACCAGCACACCAGGACTTCTAAGATGTGTTTATGTCTACATAAATACCCTTTCATTAACTTTCAACTTTCTCTTTATTGTGCTTAGTATGTCATGGTGGCAGTGTGCCATGGAGTCAGTTCCTACTCATAGCGCCTGTAAATCTTTACAGGAGCAGAAAGCCTCATCTTTCTCCAGAGGAATAGCTGGTAGATTCGAACTGCTGATCTTGCAGTTAACAGCCTAATGCACAATCAACTACATTGCCAGGACTCCTTTTTATTTTGGTTACTATAGTCCAATGTTGTTGTTGTTGTTGTTGTTGCTAAGTGCCGTTGCATTGGTTCCAACTCAAAACAACCCCCATAGGGTATCCGAACAGTGGCTGATGGGTTTGAACCACTGACCTTACAGTTAGCAGTCCAGTGTTTATCCTAAAGCACCATACCAGAACTCCATAGTTTTATATATATATATATACACGCACACACAGTCGTTATTAAGTGCTATTGAATTAATTCTGACTCATAGTGACACTGTATAGGGTATCCAAGGAGTGGCTAGTAGTTTTGAATTGCTGATCTTGTGGTTAGTGCTTATCCTACAATGTCACACCAGGACTCCATATATATATTTAGTTTTGGGATTAATCCTTCAGTCTCTACCCTAAACATTGTTTCAGAGGGAGGTAAAAATCAAAGGGACCTTTACATTTGCTTTGAATGTTTGCACTGTGACCCCCAAACCCTATCATACAATACAACTGATAACCTAGGAAAGTTCTAGGGTGTGAATAAGAATGGACTGATTCTGTAACTGAACATATTGATGGGTTAACCACTTTTATCTTTGCCTTTCCACAGCTTCTGTTGCTTGTTCTCTTTATGACTTGATGTTACCATTTTTCTATCTAATAAGAATCTTTGATTCCCTCCATGCTTCAAAGAAAATCTCTGTGTCTAGCCATGCTCTTTAAGTCTCAGAGAAGGAAATGTTGCCCCTGATCTGAAAGGCTTCCCTCTCCACTTCAGCTACCAATTCTAACTTGCTTCTTGCATTGGCTGCCCCTGGGTTCTTCAGTCTCTCTACTTTGGTCTCTCATCTTCCCAGATCCATAGTAACTCTTCATCTCAGGAAAATATAACTGCTGCTGTCTTGCTGCTTCCTTAAGTTCTACCATGTAATTTTCTTCCCTTTCTGCTTAACTTTCCAGTGAAACTTCTTTCCCTTCACTACACCACCTTTGGAGTCCTGGTGTGGTACTGTAGATTAATGTGTTGGACTAATAAATCAGTTTGAACTACAAGGCTGGTGGTTGAAGCTCCTTGGAAAGCCTATACAGGGTCACTATGGGTTGGAACCAACTCAATGACACTCAACAACAATAACTTCACCTTTGATTTCTATCCCTACCACTTAAACAGTTTTGTTTGTTTTTTTTAGGGTCATAAGCATCTTTGTGGAGTTCTGGTGTGATGCGGTAGGATCAGCACTAAACTGCTAACCACAAGGCTGGCAGTTCAAACCCACCAGTCACTCACTCCATGAAAACCCTATACAGGGTCCCTATGATTCTGAATCAACCTGATGGCACTTAACAACTTCCTTGTATTTTCTAAATACATATTTCATTCTTGACTTCTCTGAAGTACTTCATCATCTGTTCTTCTTAAAAGGATAAGCACTGGACTGCTAACCACAAGGTTGGTGGTTCAAACCCACGAGTCACTCTTTGAAACCCTATCAGGATCGCTATGAATCAGAACTGACTCTATGGCACTTAACAAGTTCCTAGGTGGTACAAACAGTTTGTGTTTTCTACAAAGCCTGGTGATCTGTTTCCATAGAATATGGTGGTGGTGGTGGTGGTGGTGGTGGTTATGTGCCATTGAATCAGTTCCAACTCAGGGTGAGTTAATGCAAGAAGCATGTTAGGATTAGCAGCTGAAGTAGCATGGGAAGGTTTGCAGAGCAGGGACAACTTTTCCTTCTGAGACTGAAGGGTGTGGCTAGGCACAGAGATTTTCTTTGTAGCATGGAAGGAATCAAGGTAAGCTTTATCTGTGTACTCCAGGTGGACTCTTATTAGAAAAGTGGCCACATCAAGTCATAGAGACCAAGTGACAGAAGTTGTGGCAAAGGCAAAGGTAACTACAGGATCAATAAGAAAATCAAACCATTTTAATTCACTCCCTAGAGTTTTCCTAGGTTATCAGCTGTATTGTATAGAAGTTGAAGGGAGCCGTCACAGTGCAAGCATTCAAAGCAAATGTAAAAGTCCCTTTGATATTCACCTCTGGCTCTGAAACAATGATGCAGGTTTGTAGCTACTACAGGTCTAATCCAAAAACTAATCCTGGTGTGGTACAGTAGGATAAGCATTGAATTGCAAGGCCGGTTTGAAACCTAAGGTTATTGGTTCAGAGTCACCAGCCGATCCTCGAACACCCTACACAGGGTCGCTGTGAGTTGGAAGTGACTTGACAGCACTTAACAACAACAAATATATATATATATATATAGTTCTGGTGTAGCCCTATAGGATAAGGACTAGATTGTTAATCACAATGTTGGCAGTTCAAATCCACCAACCATTCACTGGAAAACCTATACAGGTTGCTATGAGTCAAAACCAACTCAATAGCACTAACAACAACAAATTACACATGTATTGGACTATAAAGTTTTAGTATGGTGCTGTAGGATAAGTACTAGATTGTTAACCACAAGGTCAATGGTTCAAATCCACCAGTCACTCTTTGGAAACTCTTGGGAAGACTACAATGGTGGTGGTGGTTATTTGCCATGTAGTGGGTTCCGACTCATAGTGACCCTGTATAGTGTTTCCAAGGCTGTAAATCTTTATGGGAGCAGAGACCCTTATCTTTGTGCCATAGAGTGACTGGTAGATTCAAACTGCTAACCCTGAGGCTAACAGCCCAACTCAGAACCCACTATACTACCACGGCTAGGCAAGAAAAGAAAAGACGCTGTGGCACTGGTTCTACTCTGTAACACACGGAGTTGCCATGAGTCAAAATCAACTCAATAGTACAGACTCAATTGCTATAGCTTTAGTTTGTGACTTTCCTATATATGAACCAAGGAGCTCTGGTAGTGTAGTGGTTACGAGTTGGGCTATGAGCCTCAAGGTCAGCAGTTCGAAACTACCAGTGGGTTCGTGGGAAAAAGATGAGGCATTCTGCTCCTGTAAAGATTTACAGCCTTGAAAACCCTGTGCAGGGTCACTATGAGTTGGAACCGACTCCACAGTACTTAACAACAACAACAACATATATGGATCACTTTAGGAGCTCTGGTAGCATAGTGGTTATGAGTTGGGCTGCTATTCTCAAGGTCAGAAGTTCGAAACTATCAGTTGTTCTTCAGGAGAGAGATGAAGCTTTCTGCTCCCATAAAGAGTTATAGCCTTGGAAATCTCTACAGGGTTGCTATAAGTTGGAACTGACTCCACAGCACACTACCATCACCACAACCATCTAGACCACTTTGTTCTTCACCTTGCCTCCCTAACCACTTCATTTGTAGTTATCAATCAACTCCCTGCGTGTTAACATGGTATTCCTTATCTTGGCTCTCAGGCTCCTCCATAACCTGACTCTACTTGTCTTTGCAGACTCGTCTGCCATTATTTACCTCCCATCTTTTCAGTGTTCTTCCAATAAGTCTGACTCCTTTCTGCATATGTATCTGTGCTTATATGCCATACCACAGCTTTTCCTCTATAAACTCTTCATCATATTTCTCAGACATTTGAGGTAACTGTTCTGCTAGTCTATGACATGAACCCAACACATAGTAAATGCTCAATAGATTTTTTTTTTTTTTAGTAAAAAAGGGAGGGAGAGGAAAGCAGGAGGGAAAAAAGGAGCCAAAGAACATACATAATTAATGAATAGTTAAGTTGAGGACCAACCAATTTGTCTGCCTGATTTAAAAATACTGGTTAAAGGCACAAGGTTTTATATATATATATATATATAAAACAAGCCACAAGGTCAGCATTTTGAAACTACCAGCAGGTATGTATGTTAC